TTGTTGGTTTTTTTATTTTATTTGTTTTAATTACTCAAAATGCTGTTATTAATGAATTGTTATATTATTGTATTATATTGTTTGTATTTTTGGTGGTTTTATTACTGTGACCATACTTGATTTTTTTTTTTTACTTGTTGGTAATTAACATGTAATAGTATTATTCAGAGGAATTATTTATGATTCATTTGTTTTATTAATAATTTGTTATTGTAGTCCTTTGGGTATGAAGTTCTTCAAGGATCCAGTATATTAGATGAAATCCTATATAAATTCTGTCTGGATAGATTTGAAAATCAATAACATTTCTTACTGTTATTGTAGTCCTTTGGGTATGAAGTTCTTCAAGGATCCAGTATATTAGATGAAATCCTATATAAATTCTGTCTGGATAGATTTGAAAATCAATAACATTTCTTACTAAGACACCTGTCATTGCATAAAGCTATTATTCTCCATAACATCCAGGGTGTGATTATCTCTTGATGTCATCCATCCAAGACTTTTTTTTCTTTTTTTATCCGGGTTCTTGATTCCACAATGAAACCTGCAATAGTATTAGAGTCCCAAATCTGACTAGTAAATTGCCTTTTATTTTGAGAGATTTACTTTTATTCAATTAAAATGAACTCTGCCATTGTAAAATTTATTCCATTAGCAATTTTGACCCTTACTATGTATGCATTTACAGCACAGTGATGAGACTGAAATCTGTAAATAGTGTAAATTTTACACTGTAGGTGAAGGTTACACTGGTTGTTGGGGAAAGGAATAAGAGACAGTATAAAAGCTGTTTTGGTGGTTTAGCAGAAGAAAGGGGCTGTATCGATCAGACATTTGCCATAAGACAGGTAATTGAAAAGTACCTGGCAAAGGGAAAGGATATATCTTTGACATTCATGAACTAAGAAAAAGTTTGTGATAAAAAAGAAAGGGAGAGGCCATGAGGCAGCAGCTGTGTATTTATGGTGTGAATTACAAACTTCAATAGTGTGTGAGTGGGTAGTAAGTAGACTGATTTCTTTGAAATTAAGATAGAACCGACCTGGCATAGCAATTCACTGTCCAAAGGGTATTACTTTATAAGAATGTTCTTAAAATTTCCTATGGTCTTTTGCTTTCAGACATTGCTGAGAACAGACTGAAGGTGGCAAAGGAAATGGGGGCAGACCACACCATCCTTGTGAGTTCAGGAGATGCTGAAGCTATTGCTAAGGAGGTTGAGAAGGTGATGGGTGGGATGCCAGACATCACTATTGAGTGTAGTGGTGCCGAGTCAAGCATTCGCCTTGGTATTTTTGTAAGTACCATGTTCCTGGGAGGAAGGGGGTGAAAATTTATCAATGTTATCAGTGTTATTTGTTTGATGTTGTGAATAAGAATATAAAAAATAAGAAGCTTCATTTTCTATTTTAGAGATTGTAAGTCTTTCTCCTTTGATATTAGTTGTCTTTAATACTTTTCTAACTGGTCATGAAGAAGCCAATTGTAGAAGTGCATCTGTAATCACGTGACATTTTAATGCAAATTTAATTTTTCTCTCTCATTACAGGCTACAAAGTCTGGTGGCATGATGGTCCTTGTTGGCTTAGGTCCATCAGAGGTGAAGATCCCAATTGTCAATGCCGCTGTACGAGAGGTGGACATCAGGGGCATCTTCCGCTATGCTAACTGGTACGTGCTTTGGCATTTTTAAAGCTCTGGATCATTCAGCTTCACTGCTTTTGATTTATTGAGAAACTAAATGTGTGCATAAAAAGTTGCTTTGACCGATTTGTTTTTATCTTTCTTAGTTCTGCAAGTCTACCTTTTAGTTTAGTAAGAAACACACCTGTGGCATTGACTCATATACCATACTGATTTTCCCTCAAAATGATGCCAAAACAGAATGGCTGACCGTCCTTCAAATTAATAAAGTTTAAAAATCTAAAGTACAACACTAAGATATGAAATACAATTAGTCAAAAAATCATTATTACAATAGAGATTTTTTTTTTTTTTTCAGCTATCCTTTGGCACTGGATATGATAGCATCAGGCAAGGTCAATGTCAAGCCTCTCATTACTCATCGCTTCAAATTGGAGGAAACCCTCAAGGCCTTTGAGACTGCTCGCACAGGGGCGGGTGGAGCAGTCAAGGTCATGATCTCTTGTGAATGAAAAGCGGATAATTGGAAGAGTCTTGGAGAGAAAGCGAGAGAACTGTTGCCTTTTTTTCTTCACTTTTTGACCTTAAATTTAACATTGGTGCAGCTCTGTTCTCGTATGCATTGTTTACAATAATAAAGTTGAAAAAAAAAGTTTTCTGTTAATGTTATTTTCCAATTAATGTGTGTGTAAAATGATGTTTGTAATAAAGAAATTTTTTGCTATATTTTGAATATCTTGATAAAGACATTAGATGTTGATATGGCAGAAAAATTTAAATATATAAATAATGAGATACATAATGTCAACTAGAAATGTAAGAATCTTATAATGCTACCAAGTACCTTCTGATTTCACTCTTTAGGGCTTCATTTTTTTTTTCCAGATTTTGAAAACAAGATTTTGTTCAGTATAGTTTATTTTAAACATATAATTCATTTAATACTCATCCCATCCCACCGACTCTTTGATTGTGGCTTCATTTGCCAGTTTGGATCTCCTGTATGCATTTGCTTCCCCCTTCACCCTCAAATTCTTCTTGGAAATCTGCTTCTTTTCCCGTCTTGTAAGGTCCTTCTGCATTCGCCGTTTAATCTCCTCTGGTTCTATGGTACTTGCTGTTGTTGAAAAGCTGCAGACACTGTGTACATCACTCATTGTTTCTTGTAACAGGTCACCAAGTGGTGGGGCTTCCTCTCCATTTTCTTCGCAGAGCTGACGTACCTCTCGGGCATTGGCCAAGTGCTTTATGAAGAGCAGCCTTGCCTCTTTGTTGCCATCCTTCTTTCGTCTCTCATTTAATTCTTTCTGTTTTTCCACGCCCATATTTAACTCTTTTACAATCATATTCACCATCTTGTCATTTTCAGCTTGGTCAATTTTAGCCTCTATATTTAGCTCCTTACACAATACCTCTATCTCATCCTGCAACTTGGCAAGTTCCTCTTTTGTAAGGCCTGATGTCTGAGTCTGGTCTGGTACCTTAGAGGCTTCCTCTTGTTCAAGGGGTGGGACCTCTCCTTCATCACCACTTCCATCATTATCATCGTTGCCATCCTCACCTTCTTCTTCTTCTTCTTTTTCTTCATCCTCATCGCTGTGAGAGTCGTCTTCAACTGTTGTGTCAAAATCTTTCCCAACATTAAAATGTTCGTTGAACTCTTGAATCTCTCTTGAAAATCCACTCACAGACACCTCTTTGTCCAGATTATCTTCCCTCCTGTTAGGTAGAAAAAAAAAGGAAAAATTATTTTCCAATTAATGTGTGTGTAAAATGATGTTTGTAATAAAGAAATTTTTTGCTATATTTTGAATATCTTGATAAAGACATTAGATGTTGATATGGCAGAAAATTTAAATATATAAATAATGAGATACATAATGTCAACTAGAAATGTAAGAATCTTATAATGCTACCAAGTACCTTCTGATTTCACTCTTTAGGGCTTCATTTTTTTTTTCTAGATTTTGAAAACAAGATTTTGTTCAGTATAGTTTATTTTAAACATATAATTCATTTAATACTCATCCCATCCCACCGACTCTTTGATTGTGGCTTCATTTGCCAGTTTGGATCTCCTGTATGCATTTGCTTCCCCCTTCACCCTCAAATTCTTCTTGGAAATCTGCTTCTTTTCCCTTCTTGTAAGGTCCTTCTGCATTCGCCGTTTAATCTCCTCTGGTTCTATGGTACTTGCTGTTGTTGAAAAGCTGCAGACACTGTGTACGTCACTCATTGTTTCTTGTAACAGGTCACCAAGTGGTGGGGCTTCCTCTCCATTTTCTTCGCAGAGCTGACGTACCTCTCGGGCATTGGCCAAGTGCTTTATGAAGAGCAGCCTTGCCTCTTTGTTGCCATCCTTCTTTCGTCTCTCATTTAATTCTTTCTGTCTTTCCACGCCCATATTTAACTCTTTTACAATCATATTCACCATCTTGTCATTTTCAGCTTGGTCAATTTTAGCCTCTATATTTAGCTCCTTACACAATACCTCTATCTCATCCTGCAACTTGGCAAGTTCCTCTTTTGTAAGGCCTGATGTCTGAGTCTGGTCTGGTACCTTAGAGGCTTCCTCTTGTTCAAGGGGTGGGACCTCTCCTTCATCACCACTTCCATCATTATCATCGTTGCCATCCTCACCTTCTTCTTCTTCTTCTTCTTCTTCTTTTTCTTCATCCTCATCACTGTGAGAGTCGTCTTCAACTGTTGTGTCAAAATCTTTCCCAACATTAAAATGTTCGTTGAACTCTTGAATCTCTCTTGAAAATCCACTCACAGACACCTCTTTGTCCAGATTATCTTCCCTCCTGTTAGGTAGGAAAAAAAAAAAAAGAAAGGACTTATTAACAAAACTTTGACAATAATGATACAGACTGGATTAGAAATTCAGTGTTTGAAACACTGAATTAGAACCATACATACATATTCTTATTGCTGCTCCTAGATACTGGTCTTTGACCATGAATTCCAAATTCAAATATTTTTTCCTTGATCAATATATACATCTTGGTACTTTTTACAGTATATTAATAAAACTTAAATGTAACAATACAGAACTTCAAGCATCATTAGAAAGCAGAATTTACTGCATGTCTATAATAATCATTATCAGCTACACAGACATTTTGCATACTTACACAACATCTTCGTCAAAGTCAGGATACAGCTCACTCTCATAGCTAAATCTTCTCTTGAAAAATTCACGCACACAGTTCACATCTCGGTCAAAATACCTGCACAACAACAAAACATGAGTATGAAGAGAAAATTTCAACTGAGTAATAGCACTTAAAAAGTTTATGCAGCAAGAAATTATCAATGTCTAAATTGACTTATAAAACAGTGAGAGAGAGAGAGAGAGAGAGAGAGAGAGAGAGAGAGAGAGAGAGAGAGAGAGAGAGAGAGAGAGAGAGAGAGAGAGAGAGAGAGAGAGAGAGTGAGAGTGAGTGAGTGTGTGTGTGTGTGTGTGTGTGTGTGTGTGTGTGTGCGTGTGAGAAAGTGATATTGTCATTGAATATTTGCCATTGTTAGTGCCTTCCACTGTTAATTGTCATACTAATTATTATTTATTTGCTTAATACATTATCTCTCCAGTTGCATTTTTAACACACAATTGTGTAACAGCTTTGGTCCCACACACTGAGTAAACAGTTTAACATTAGTTGTAATAATATCTCCATTGAGAGATTTAGTGCTTGATAGAAGGCATAAAATATTAAATCACTACTCAGAATTGGCAACTCCATACTTGTTTCCGGAGGAGGAAGGAAGGAGAGAGAAAATGGCTTGATTACAAATTTTTGATGGGCAATTTTTTGCGAGTAGCAATATTCTCAGGTGGGAATCTAATTACTCTGGAGCTCCAAATATGTAAATTCTTCTGGTATTTGTGATCAAAACTTTGGCAAATCTTAAATAAGCCAAACCAGGTCTTGGGAATATTTAAATTTTTCATTATCATTATTTGACCTAGTATTTTTCTAGTGTTATTTACGTAGTGTGTTGTGCCAGCATACTTCATGGCTTTCTTTTCTTGATATTCTTACTTATAATGTTTTCATCTACAATTCTTACTTTTGCTTTTCAGTACGGGTGTAATTGTTTTGTTTATGAGAGGGATAAGGAAGCCATCCTTTATAACTATTTCCTTTCTGGAGATATGTCCTAAGTAGTGTTAACAAAAATTGTTATCATACTTGTGTGATGTGTAAGTTCCTCTAAAATACCACATAAGATTTTACATTTGTTCTCTGTAGATTCTAAATCATAGTAATGAACCATCATGATTCAATATCTATTTCCTGAAGTTATTTGTCATTTGCTACATATAACATTAACCCATTGCCGCCGGGGAAAATGAACAAAAAATGGGGAAAATGCTGTACTCATTTTTTATATTTTTGTGAAATATCTCTATACATAGATGGCTGTAATAGTCCTGATTTCACCTTTCCTTGAATTGGCAGGAAAACACATATTCTTATTAGTGCTATAAATATAGATGGTGTTATTTTTAACAGCAAATTAGGATAACGTTAAATATTTTCGTAAATCGATCAAAAGGGTGAACGGGCGAGAGAGGCAGTACTCGTAATTGGCACACTGGTGAATTGGTACAAGTGTAGCCATCTATGTGTAAAATCAATCAAACAAGTCGACTCACAGTGGGCATGGCATGTACGTATATGCCATCCCCAGCGGCAATGGGTTAATGTTAATAATATAGCAAAAGATATATGACATGAAACAAAAGTCATATAACTTTTAATTTCATTCTTTTTCTTATTTCTAAAGCAAGGGTCATGTAGTATCCCCTCATTCATATATCCAAAAACTGAAGTGGGGACTTACATCTTGGCATTTTCGTGGTCAGTTGACACCATCTGAGGGAAATCGATCAGCACAGGCTTGTCATCATCGTTCACCATGATATTGAACTCGTTGAAATCGCCATGAATGACACCATGGTTGGCCAGTTTCACGATCAGGTCCATCAGATCACTGTAGAGCTGAGGGACGTCTTTTACATCATGCACGTTGCACCTGGAGATGTGAAATAATTATGTAAGTTTGAGATTTGAATTGATATGAACTAAGCTGTACAAAGACTTGTACGGCATGCTTTAAAGAAGAAAACTGAAATAAAAAATTTTGGGATTAATTTTATCACTTGTCAGACACCATACACACATAGCTAATGGGCTGCAAAGATCCTACTTACAGTGGATAACCATTCACAATCTCCATAATCACACAGTGTCTATTGCAATCCACTGGTCTCGGTACTGGGAACCCCCGGTCATAGAGGGCCTTCATGTACGCAAACTCTTTGGTGGCTGACAGCCTAGACAGGTAGATCCAAGAGGCCTTATTCCTGTGGTGATGATAATCACGCTTTTCCTTCAGTTTGCGGAAGGAAGTTCTCCCGAGCCTGGAATAAGAAGCGAGATTTACAAAAGCTGGAATAGTCAAAAGGCCATGTACTGAGTGTGTGAGCACCAAGAATATGTTTCGTAATTCTATTTGACTTGTTTTGGGAAAGCAATATCATTAGCCTACTACTGCTATATGTGCATTGTGTTTATCAATATCTTCGGACACTGCATGCCAATACTCTCATAAACTAGCCACTTAGTCACTGAGTCTTTGGCAACAATTTTTTTGCTTTCACATCAATATCTGCAATGATGGACAGCCTCTTCTTCAAGATGATATTAATAAAGAGAGCATATGGGTAGGGTAAGAATGAAAACAAGTAATATAATTTTTTTTAGACTCAAATCTAACAATTGGTAAATTATACTTCAATGAATCTCTTCCAAGACAATCAAAATGACACCTGCTGTTCTATCCATCTCCATTAGCACCCTCTCCCATGTTCTCCCTTCTCCTTGTGCCCCCCCCCCCCCCCTTCTTACCTATGTAGTTTCATGCAGAGTGGATTTCCACTTGGGTCACTGGTGACATAAATATCGGATTCTTTCCCAACACCAATCTGGCTGCCTACAGAGCCTAAGACATCTCGGGATGAAAGCACTTTCAGAGCCAAGTAGTCATAACCCATGTTTGTCAACCTGTACCCATCATCTGAAAATTAAATAAAACTGTTTTATTTATAATGATCCTTTAAAAGTACAATTTTCCTATTGGAAAGGCAAGAGATCATCATCATGTATAGGGAAAAAAAGGAAAAAAAGGATATTGAAAAAAGAAAAAGGAAAAGAAAAATGTCACATACAACAAGAACAACCTATGAAAATTTCTCACTTACAGTGTTTTCCTCGTTCATATGCACATAGACGATGCTTGCAGAGTTCCCTGAGCATCCTGTGCACACCACCACCACGCAAGTTGGCGATCTGAGTGACGAGAGTGATGGGCACAAGTTCATGGTTCTTCATGCCCATTTCAATCTGGAGAGAGAATGAAAAAAAAAGAACCATTGACTTTTGTTGATTATGTGTTGCAGGACTGTAGTTATTATATTTCAAAGTGTTTGGTATTATCCATGATACTGTTACAATATAAATATATGGGTGTGTGCACATGTAATGAATGGGTGTAACAAGTATTTCTATTTTTTTTTAAAATACATGTATATAATCACACATAAAACATGATAAGCATATAGATTATACATCTAATAAATATGCATCTCAGTATACTGCAACAGAAATTGAAATAGAGATATACATTAAAATTATAGTGTATTTCTAAGCCATGATGCCTTGATCTACCTGTGTAAAGGCAGTGTCTGTTGAGTTACCATAAAAATAAATGATTCACTGCAAGGTCAGGGAAGGCTGAAAGGCCTCCATGAATACGGTCTTGAATTTCTATAATTTACTAAAGTCATTTTGAATACCTAAAACTATGATGCGAAGAATAAAGATAATAAATAGCAATAATAATAAAAAATATTTCAAATGAAAAGTTGATGGGGTTAATGGATAAGGTTTGGCAGGCACTGTAATTGGCTCCTTGGTGACAAGGAACTTATGGAGCCATGTATATTTAAGAGAAAAGAAAAGTGAACAGTGCATGCAAATTTGCACTCCCTCTACCAATGGATTATCATACAAAATATATAATAATGAATAATAAGACTTCTTAACATTATCATTATTTTCTTTGAGACTGTCATATCCTTTATTCTGAAAGATAGAAAAACATAATGAACCCAAAGGAGAGACAATATGAACTGAGGAACCAAGCTTGGACTAAAACATACCAAAAGTAACTTACAACTTCCGAATGTTCAGATAGAGCCATTACCGTATTTAACAATCATGACAATGGTACATGACTAAGAAAAGCTGCATCAAAAACTTCATCGATGAAATAGGCTATATCTGATTCAGAGGGTTCTACATACACATACTATGCACTTCAATCTGGGTATGGGATCAATATGTAGAAGAGGGTAGTGGGTTACTTTCAAAACAATTTTGATATTTTTCTGCATGATATCCAATGCTTACAATGATTTTAGGCATTGTTCCTTGTGCAAATGAACCATTGAAGATCACCATCTCCATCGACAATCTTGATTTGATAGTCCCGAGAGCAGGGGAGGGTTGTTAAACAAAACGTCCTAACCCAACATCCAACCTAACCTAACACCGTGGTATTCATATCTTCAACCATTAGCCTTCACTCTTTCAACAGGGTTTATTCGAGACACAATCCACAATAATTGCAACAGTAAAGAGGTTGTTCATCTGTGACAGTTTCTGCGAAGTGCGAGAGAGTGTGTGTGTGTGGTAGATATGTGGACAAAAAAGGATAAATGCGTAAATATGTTGAGAATTATCTCTTACAAATGGCCAGATTTTTACTCACTGCTGTCAGTATTCGGAAGTCGTCCCTCATGAGGTACCTCAGCATCGCCACCTTTAGCTTCCCCATCTTGGCTAGAAAGTCAAGTAGCTAAGCAGTCCAGATACAACGACTAGGAAGTCAAGTAACTAGTCCAGATACAACGACTAGGAAGTCAAGTAACTAAACTATCCAAATACAACGAAGCACTGCAATCGCTCAATTTACACCGGCAAATTGAGACACAGATGAAAAACACGAAGGGGTTCCTCCCCACGTGCCAGGCCTCAGTTGTAAACAAACACGGGTGCCATCTGGAGGCGAAAACATGACCTTCAATTAGAATTTTGCCCATTTACTGCACTTTACTGACGTCCTGCCTATTACTGTTTACCCATAAATAATTATTAATGATAATCAAGTTGATTCTGGCTTGTATGATACCTTATTTGCATAAAATGGGTTGTGTAATGTGTCATGCGCATTGAGATCCTCCTTTCCTTACGTAAAGTTGTAAACAGAAAGCCATGGCCGGTGTCCTCATACGAAGGAATTTTCGCCTATTTTATCCTACTGCGATCAAATACAGGCCTAAAACGACCTATGTCGTATTGTAAGGAAGAGTTTAATAGTTGAAGTAATATTAGTTTTTCGAAATGATCATTATCAATGTGTAGAAAAGGAAGATACAGAGAGTATATATAAGGCGTTTCCCAGTTGTTGTTTTTGTATTATTTGCACGTAATAACTATGTATATATGTGTGGTTATAGTACAGTGTGTTACCGTGTGCCTCATAGTGTGATTGGGAATTAACATAACCAAAGCTCACTTCACAGATTTTAGTATATTCCTCATGACGATAAGCAGAAACTACCTCCGTACCCTGTGAAATTACAGCAATTATATAAGTAATTAAGTAATACCGGGGTGTAAATTGTGTTTACTAAGGTTGAATTGGATATATATGTGATAAATGTTCAGAGTATCTGTATGCATTGTATCACTCCATACTGTTATTGATGGATTCGTCTATTATATGTTTATTCAGGAATTATTCCTCACACACTTGTTCCTAATAGTAGTGGAGGATATGAAGGTCATCAGGGAAAATGCAGGGTTAAATAGGAAAGAAATACAAGGAGTAGTTCATTAATTCATCTAATGCACAGTGCTGCACCTCCTGTGACTTAAAGCAGGGAAGGTTGCTGGAGTCAAAGCTTACACTAAGTTGTTTTAAAGAGGGATTGTGTTTCAGGGAGGGTTGCAGGGGTGCAGCCCCCTGCATAAGATGATATAAGTTGTACATTTAATTTTCCTCAATATTTAACCCATTGTGTCAGTCATAGGCTTTATACTGCCATGGCAGATTCTTTTTTTTCCAGGGTGGGGTGGCAGCCCTTGCCAGGGGAGTTGCAGTGACTCTTGTGTACATGCTTTACAGCTCTTTTGTTAAGTTTTACTTTACAGTTTTCCTGATAATCTTCAAGTCCTCCCCTACTATGAAAGTCAAGTCTTAGGTGGTATTGGGGGATTACTGTGGCATAATTCCTACAATTATGAGTAAAAGAGGGTGAGATTAATCCATCAATACCAGTATGGTCATGATTGGGTGCATGTAGGTATTCAAAACAATTACCTTATTTACTAAAGGGATTTTATTTGTGTACTGTTTATTTCATGTGGTTTTGAGATAGACCTCATAACAATTTTTTTGAGTACATACAAACATCCACCATTCTATGAGTGTTTAATTTTTTTATATTAAACAACTGAATTCACTGTTAACAGGCTCCCAGAAACTCCTGTAGATACTGCCGAGGACAATGCCCTCCTTCGTACAGAGGACTTGCCACAATTCGAACAGCTCACCCCAGAGAAATGCTGGACGGGCATTGGCAAGCTGGCACTGGAGTACGAATCTGGAGTTTGGGCAGTGGAGGAGAAAGCTAAAAGTGGGTATGACGTGTATGATGTTCACAGATCTTAAACATAACTCATTGTAGAGATGAATGACGAGTTGTAATTACTTTCCGTTTCTCTTTGCCAGAAATGAAAGAACCTAAAACATTCAAGAACATAGTAGAAGAGTTAGACAAACTGGAGTCTCCTCTGAATACGGCATGGAGCACTGTGAAGACCTTGTACACAGTCAAGAATAATGAGATGAATACCAACACTTACCTGAAGATTCACGAACGAGCACGTAAGGCTAGGGTGCATAAATTCCAGAGCCTTCCCATCTATGAGGCTTGTAAGGTGAGCTGGATTATTAGTGGTGTTCTTATTATTTTCAGTTCTTATTTTTGTTGTTACTGTTTTTGTTCTCTCATTCAGAAAGAACACTCAAAAGCCTCCTTGTCATATTCAAAGAAATCCAATAAGGAGAAAGTAAAATGAATGTTGATTTTCTGTCTTATATTTAAAATCCATTTTTAACCTCTTGGAAACGAGCTATAATATGATATTTATTTTTTCCCTTTTCTTGCAGGATATATATGTAAATGACACAAATCTAGATGAGGCGCAGAGACGTGTTGTGCGTAAATTTCTTCTCGAGGCGCGGTTGAATGGGATTGAATTACCTGCTGAGAAAACCCCCCTATTTGCAGAGACGTTAAAGAAACTAGAAGATCAAAAAAATGAATTTAGGAAAAAAGTTGCAGTGAGTATTACCAGAATAGTTAGACTATATTTTGATTGCAGATAGAATATAACCCTGAAATGATGATAAAAGTTTTCTTATGAATTCCTTTTGCAAAAATATTTATGACTATTTCACTTATACATTTATTTATATTTTTTGTTATATACTTCCTTTTTATTTGTACCTTTTCTTGTCTCTTTTTTCTGCATCTTTTTTCGGTCTATCCCAGTCTTTTTCCATAATTTCTTCATTATTTCCATCATGTTCCCATTATTACCATCACTTCTCTCCATAATATTTGATGGTATTTCTCAATCTTTTCCTCTCTTTGTAGGAGTCAACAAATAGGTTCTCATATAGGATAAATGATCCCAGCCTTGTCAAAGAATTCCCAGTTGAGCTCCTGAAGAACATGGCAGTTAACAGGTGAGTCAAGTGAACACTTAATTTCAGTAGTGCCTGATAGTGAGTCATAGCTTTTTCATATGCAAGCTATATTTTTGAGGTTCTTGTAACAAAATTTTCAAAATAATGTTTTCATTCCCAGGTCACGATATCACCAGGGGCCTTGGGATATTGTTCTTCATCCACATGTTTATGACAGCTTTTTGGAGTATTGCCCACTAACTGATCTGCGGCGTAACACATACAGGGCATTCAACATGAGGGCATCAAACCATATTAGTAAAGATGTAAACAACAGCCTTCATCTGGAAGAAATACGGTCATTAAGGTATGTGCAAGTTGATGGGCTTCTAAATTCAAATAGCTGCTGCTGAGTATTTAGTTTGTATTATTTGATGTAAACATATACTACATTTAAATCATGAAATTGCAAAAGACATAGCTAAGGCTAAATATTGTACACTCTTATAGTGATTTGTTCATAGCGGAAAACAGCTGTGATTCTTTTTCTAATACTGCCTTCCACTTCTAGGAGTGAACAAGCTAAGATTTTAGGGTATGAGAACTTTGCTCAGATGTCCATGGAGACCAAGATGGCAGGAAGTGTAGAGAATGTGATGTCAATGATTACCAGCTTGTTAGCTAAAGGTGAGAACTTTTGTGGTTTATATTCATTTGACTTTTTCACTCTGTTAGGTGTCATTGTGTATAGTATAATTATAAATGGCACTGAGCAGAAAATGGTATTGTAGTTACATGAATGGATTGGAAAGGAATTTTAAATTTGTTTGGTCTGGTTGAGTCCACATACCAATACTCTTTTACAAAATCCTCTAGTGATAGCATTTTTCAGGGGATGATGAAGTAAATAACTTTTGCTAAGATGAACTGGTAGGATAACTGATGGCATTCTCAAAAAGTGGAACAGAGTAAGCCTGAGGATTAAAGCTGATCTTATTTCACAGCACGGAAGGCACAGGACAAAGAAATAGCTAGTCTCCAAGAGTTTGCAGAAGGCAGAGGCTTTGAAGGGAAACTGGAGGCATGGGATGTGCCATACTGGAGAAGGAAGCACAAGCGTCATGTATTCAAGTATGTAATTTGTGATGTCAGATGAGACCACAAAAAAATGCAAAGAAATAAGTATATTGTGTCATGAAATTTTATTTATTTATTTATTTAATTATTTAAGTTATGATTTGTAATACACACATTATAATGGATTACTTATTTATTTTATTTTTTGTCATACTAGCTTTGATGAGGCTCAGCTCCAAGAATATTTCCCCTTTGAGCACGTGCTGGTGAAGCTTCTGGAGATCAGTTCAGAGCTCTTTGGCATATCCTTCGAGGAAGTCCCAAGTGGAGAGGTTTCCACTTGGCACCCAGATGTGCGGTTCTTCCAAGTAACAGATGCTAATGGGGAATACCTTTCGTCCTTTTACCTGGACCCTTATAGCAGGTAGGATTTTTGTGTAGGCAAAAATATTTTTTCTCATCCATCCCTTCCCCTTTTTTTTACTGTAACTTTGATGTGTAGTTGTAGATTGTAAGATTAACTCATTTTTATTATTGTATCAGAAATAGTATTTCAGCCTGGATAATTATATTTGGTTGTGGTAACATCATAGTTTGATGTTATTTATATTGCTGTGATAGTCATGATTCTTCATCTTAGCCCTGTTATTGTTGTCATTATTGTTATTATCTTTAATCTTGTATTATTATTATTTTGCAATTACTGTTATTGTTATTGCTGTTACAATTTTATATTCTTATTATAGACCTGGCGAGAAGCTTTACACTCGAATTGGTTCTGCATGGATGCTTGGTTGCCGCAGTCGATCTGAGGTTGCAGGGACGTCACCAATTGCAAACTTAGTGTTCAACTTCAAGCCTCCTGCCTCTGAGGACCAACCTGTGTTACTTACCTTCAATGATGTTAATTTACTGTTCCAAAAGGTAATGTATTTGGAATGGACTATGAAAGTCGAAGTTTTTACATTCATGGCTTTGTATTTTCTTGTAATTGTGGCATATTATTGATAGACACTAAGGTATTAATGGTTGTTTTAGGAAGATTTCATCCTTTTGGGTATGAAATTAAATTATGGACATTTATTTTACCTTTTTTTTTTTTTTCTTTCAGTTTGGACATGCTCTTCAACACCTGCTTACAAGGGTTCCTTACAGTGAAGCATCAGGATTAACTAACATTGAATGGGATGCTGTAGAAGTGTGCTCAAACTTCATGCAAAATTGGTAAATATTGGAGTTGCTTTATTAACCCCATCGGCATGGATGGCAAGAATACATGCCATGCCCAGTGTAATACGAGTTTATTTATTGTATTACCCATAGATGGCTCTATAAGTGCTTAATCACCAAGGAGTTTGTTATTAGTCCTACCTATCTCACCTGTTTACCTTATTTCTTGACTTTTGGAAAGGGTCTTTTGCATTATTTCATTGTGTTAAATGTTATCAAGATTTTAATAAGAATTTAATAATCATAACATCAATAACAATAATAAGAGTATCGATATCATTTGTATTAAAAAAAAGAAAGTGAAGAAATTTTTTTTTTTTCTGTTATCATCATAATCATAATTACACTTGTTCATTATCATCTTCAGTCATCATTATTCATTAAGTATGAAGGTAGGTAAAATATTGCCCCTCAAAATAATGGTTATCTGTCTGTCTCCCAGGCTGTACCAGCCAGAAGTTTTGGAGCGCGTAAGCTGCCACTACGACTCTGGCTTACCTCTAAGTGGGTCAAGCATAAAGGATATCATAGCTAGTCGCAACCACATGGCAGGCTTCGACATATGTTCCGAACTCTACATTGCTCATCTTGATATTCAGCTTCATTCATGGTAAGGATATCTTTTGTAAATTGATATCGTATTTAATCTTCAAAAATGTATTTTCTTTTAGGAATGATTTGAACTGCTTTGATTATATATAGGATTTATATGACTGTTATTCTTAAGAGCATCCGTGTAATGTTTTTCTGAATGGCACTAATAGAACATATTATCTTTGCTATTATTATTTACATTGTCATCTACGCCACCACCCAAAAGTGACCAGACTGAGCATCTGAACAAATTTCCCCCCCACACAGCAAAGACTTCTGGCTGGATGTATCCCGAGAGTTGTGGGACACGTACCGCCCCTTCGTCTTAGACAAGTATGATGCTCATCCCTGCTCGAACACCACCATCATGGCTGACGTCTGGGCTGCTGCCTATTACTCACACATTTGGTCACGTATGGTAGCGGCAGATGCTTTCCAGGCATTCAAGGAGTCGAGTGAAGAGCATGAGGTTATTGGAAAGAGGTGAGATTTCAGTGGTATTTAATTGCTAATTAGTTTTAGGTGATAATTACTTGTTTTGAGGTGGAGGATAATTTTTTTCTTTTCTTTTCCCCTGTTTTATGTTTTTGCATCCTTTTGCAGATACTTGTATTTTCCCAAATGTGTTTATTCCTAATACTACTGCAGTATTTAATGTATTTATACAATAAATCAAATATTATTATACCCCTTAAACAACTTTTTCTCATTAATTTCAGGTTTTGTGATACCTTCTTGGCGCTGGGTGGAGGCTGCCATCCAGGTGAAGTTTTCCGCAGGTTCAGAGGCCGTGATCCATCACCAGATGCCCTTCAGGTTCTCTCGGGAATAGTTAAAAACAAAGGCGCTGTCTCAACTTAGCCATAAAGGAAGCAGTTGTAAGAAAGACATTTAAAATTAGGTGTGAAGTATGGATCACACTGCATCGACTTTTTAATGTTCTTGTGAATGGAAAATATGTAATTTACAATGTTGACAAAATAGTATGAATAAATGAAAATAGTCTGGTACATAAATGGAACAGATGTCAAACTTGCAAGATGTGTTGTTTCCCAGATTGCATCTCCCAATTTGAATTTAAATGTTATCAATATCATGGCAACAGAAACAAACCAATTATCTAGTTACTGATGTCCTGTCCACACAATAGAACAATGCCTGGCAGACTTTGACTGTCGCACAGAGTTGCTTCTGTCTGTCAGGGTCATCGATTGAAACCTGGCAGGAAACAATCATACTACCAAGCTAACAGCCTTATCTGGCGATTTGATTTGCCGAAACAGCAAGCATAAGCAAGTGTCTGTCAGTCAGTGCTCAATTTTGTGGGTGTTCTATTTTTCCAGTTAGATTTCCGTGTTTATTAGAGCTTTGGAATTGTATATATGATGTATACTATGAGATGATCTTATCTTTCTACATGGTTATTGTCTGTATTATTTTGTAAATAAATTTACAATTAAGTAAATCTAAATAAGTATTGAGTAGTTTCATCCCTTCAGTTTCTTTGATATTAATGGTAAGACATGAGAAGCAAATTGACATACATCATGATATGTCATTTAAAGAAGAAAAGGTTGTACACCTTTTTCTGGATGTGTAATTTTGCTGTTTTTTAAATTTCACATTGGTTGCAGAGGTCATGCCATACAAGCTACTTCCATAGTAATCCAAGTTTATTGGTTCTGTTTGCACAAAGATGGTTCCATATGCATTAGTCACCCAGGAGTCAGTTATGTCCTATCTATCTTACCCATTTATATTTTCCCTTGATTTCTGTAAATATTTTTTTTTATTGTTATCACATTAGTAATATATCAGAAATCATAGTAAAATAACAGTGTTGATGTTAATAGCTTCAAAATAATCCTTATGATTCAAGGAATGGGGAAATTACAATTGGTCTTGCAGGGCCTACTAATTAAGTCCTTGGTGGCTGAGCACTTGTGGAGCCCTAGCTTTGCACAATTCACAAAAAAATACAGTGGACAGCACATGTACCTGCAACTGATGGTCCAATGAAAGAAAATGAAATGTAAAACTGCTTTGAGAGGATAATCTATCGTTATACTGTAGAAGTGAAAAAGTAAGCAAGATAAAATTGGATATATATTAATTATATCATCAAAAGGTTAAAATTCATGGGACTTCAGGAAACACTTACACAGAATGTTAGACTTTCCAATAGTGGCAATACACCAAGAATAACCATTATAACAAATGGAATATAACCAATTTATTTTTAAAATAAGCAAAGAAAACACTACAATCCTCTTTGATAGAAAATCTATCGTTAAAATGTAGAATTGAAAAAATTGGCCTTTGCAAGTGTCAGTCAGATGTGGCACTCAGATGTACTGTCAAACACTTCTGATAACCAATGACCTTATATTTTTTCTGTAGTATGGCATTATATATATCTACTATTTTATTATATCATTGTTTACAGCATTTTTGTCTTGCCAACTTTTCTCCTATTAAGAAATCTTTATCTGGAAATAAGTTTCAAAATCTCCAGTAATGGCATATCCACACTAATTAAAAGTTAAATATTATCTGGGGGAAAAATTAAAGATTTTGGTTTCATTTCTAAATTTACTTGTATATACATGTTAACAATATTGAATTATACATTCTGTATTTTCTGCCGTCAATTTCATTCATACACATGCTATGCCAACACAGAAAATGTGATTGACCATACAAACAATAATGAGGTTTTAACTTATCACATTCACTGGCGGCAAGGGTTCTTCCAAAAGATCAGAAAAATTTTGCGCACTGAAGTCATGTGGTAGGCTAGCATATCTGATACAAAACTGATAACAGATAAATTCTTAACAGAAATAAAAACCCACCAGTAGTACATTCCATTACAAAGACAAACATTTTTTTTTTTACACCTTCACAGGATATAGATGACAGTCTTTAAAATCTACTCTGTCAGAAAAATAATCAGTTGTCTTTGACCACGCCGACCTGAGCTGACCTAATACACCTTGAGTGCAGTGTCCACCCGAGGCGAATAGTGTGTGCAACTGTGCCAGGCACTTTGTCAGGCAAAGGCAATTCAAACATGGCCTCCTGCTGCGATGGGTCAAATTTCTCCCCTATGACTGGATTGATCTGTTCGAGTCCATGTCGCCGGAACACCTGTGGTTGAGGATGAAAAAAAGAAAATGGTAAAACATTATATATTGGCAAGGTATTTAAACTCTCTCTTTCAAGTTTACCATCTTGTTTGCTTTAATCTTTTTCCACAGTCAAAGCATGTCTGCCCATCTCCTGTCAAAGACACAAATACTCACAGACAGCAACTGGGTCTCTGTCATCACAAGGCCATCATAAAGATTCTTCAATTCGGGACTTCCCTTTTGTACTTGCTCTTCTGTAACGCTTTCTATTGCCTTTCGGAACACATCTGAGACCTGGAGAGAGGAGGAGAAAAGTAGAATACAATATCTGACATTCATGGTACACAGAGAAAAGTGAGCACAGGTTTAAGAACAATATAAATTCCATTATATTTCAGTCTCTATTGTAAGAAAATACAAGTCAAAACAAAACTAAAGAAATGATCATTATCAATACTACTTAACTTAAAAAAAAAAAAGGTAATTATTTACTTTTATGAAATCTGTACATATGCATTAAGTGACAAACCGATTATTTAATCTATACTTACCTCTAAAAGATCTTTGCAAAATCCCTGAATACCATACTGCTTTGCATCCACTATCTGCTTTTCTAATCTAAGTCGTACATTTTCTCGATCTGCTAAGGTCCGCTGATATTTATCCTGAGCAACAGAGAGAGAAATTGTAAAAATAATGTCCCTGACTTGTAATATTAGCATCATCAACAATGAATATAGTTTTCAAATAACCAACAATATTTTTAAAGAAACCAGTAAATTAATAAAAAAATATACAAAATAGTAATCACTATTTGGTGTCATCTGGCTTTCATTATCAGCTGATGCTTCTATACTTTTCTGGCATTTTCTCTAGCTTCCCATAAGGTTAATAGTACATGTTTCATTTCATACAATCAATTAACCCATTGCCGCCTGGGAAAATGAACAAAAAATGGGGGAAATGCAGTACTCATTTTTTATATTTTTGTGAAATATCTCTGCCCATAGATGGCTCTGGTAGTCCTGATTTCACCTTTCCTTGAATTGGCGGGAAAAAACGTATTCTTACTAGTGCTATAAATATAGATGGTGTTATTTTTAACAGCAAATTAGGATAACGTTAAATATTTTCGTAAATCGATGAAAAGGGTGAATGGGCGAGACAGGCAGTACTGTAATTGGCGCAAGTCGACTCACAGTGGGCATGGCATGTACGTACATGCCATCCCCGGCGGCAATGGGTTAAATTGTATATTTTACTTCTCCCTAAATATGAGTGCCAAGATGCCTAATGAAATTTTGTCTATATATGTTCTGAAGATTCACTGTTATGTAAGAAACCAACCTAAGCTCTATCTTCCTTATATATGTAAAGGATATTTGATTTTTATCAGGGTGAAAAGCAAGGAGGCCACAATCGACTGATACTATCACTATCATTACTGGTACTGGTAGTAAATAAATATTCAGTCTGAAATTTCCCAATAACATGTCATTGATGAAAAGTAACTTAGTCAATCTAGTGCTTCCATGTACTGTATATCTTTTCCTTATGATCTGCATAAAAAAAATTGACCAACAAAAATCAAGTTGAAAGATTTACCTGAAGGTCAGCAACTTTTTCTGTTAAAGTTTCGTTCTCTTTTGTTAAAGTTGTTATCTGTTCCTGTAGCTGTTTTTCCGCTTCAGATGCTTCTGTTGACTGTTCTGCTGTAGCAGAAAACTGACGGGGATTTCTAGTCACCCATCTGTAAAACAAAAATAAATGAGTGAGCAAGCCAGTTAACTGCCTAATAATCACTTGCAAGTATAAAGTGACTGTGTAGTATTTATATACGCATATAATACTTTACTATATACATAAATATTTTGATAAATAAATATACTTTGATATTAGTACTTTGAGTATCATCTATGTTGTCAAGCATGAATTAGGTTCCATGTATCATAAAAAAAAATATCTTTAAATAGATCTTGTGAGATATCTTACAGAAAATACCTATGGGAAGCATGACAAAATATACTGATTTGTAGTATTACATGAGTTTTACATCAAATAACCCCTGACCCTGAGCTTCATCAAGTCATTGGTGGCATGTTACTGCATTATTACATGGAGTAGAAATCCCTGGGTGTTGAATTAAATACTAGACTCTGTTTGGATCTGTCCAAGAGATACAGCAATTTGATCATGAGGTTATTTGAGTACATAAAAGAAAGGATGAATGGTTGGCATACCATTAGTTATGTAATTTGAAATCCAACAAATTTGGTATTGATGGACTCCTCATGATGACTAGGGTGCATTTGTTGTGCTTTCAGTAAACACTAAGTTACAACAGTGATGATATCAGACCCGATATTTGGGGACAGCTTGAACTATCCTTAGGTTATAACAGGGTTAGATTATGATGCATTTAAAGCTTTTTGTAAGTGGAGCTTGTTGCTTCCAATAACCCGCCCAATCAGAGCTGCTGCTCCCCTGACCTCCCAAACCAACAATGCAGAATCCTAAGTGTTCTGCAAATCTGGGGAATTTGCAGCTTATATATTGATTCTGCCAATGTATTACAACTGTATTTATTTAACAGATTTGCTAAAAGAGTCCATTAAAGCCAAACTTGATGAGTTTTAGGATGCAGACCTATTCTAGAAATTTACCAAATACTTTAGAAATGAATGAAATATTGACAATATTAAGCTTATAATCCTTGGACTACAAAATCCTCCAAAAGAATGTCAGTATTTGCAATGAATCTGTGAGTACTATAGTCCAGTAAAGAAGATAATACTTGAGTAAACATCATTAGCAATCTTCTTGAATTAACAACCACTTCAAACTGGTCCTCTGTCTTAATGCAAGAGGTAGCCCCAATTCTGATCTAGCAATTTTAGTGAATAAATAAGGTTGGGCAACAGGAAACTCCAAGACCAAAATAAGAAGTTAGTATATATTTGCACAATGACTGCACTGTTATAGGGATAAATTAAGGACACTATCAAAAATATAGGAAAAAATACATGAACTGCTATATGAAATAATCTGTGCACACAAAGAATATTAAAAAAATCATGAATAATGCCATGAAGAGGCAAGTCAGGTGGGGGTCCTGGGTCAAAGCCCCACATTAGGAAGACTTTCGTTCATATAGCAACATTTGTGAATTCCCAAGAGTGCTCCCAAATTTGCTGGTCTCCTATTCAGAGACACTTTGGCCACCATAACCTGCATCTGCCGGGCCACACCTATGGCTGTCATAACGAACTGACTCATCATGCCAGGTACAGCTATAGAAAAACAGCAGGACGGGTGCCACTGGAGTCAGTGACACTCAGATATTTCGGATACTGTCACTGAGAGGTTAAACGGAGAGCCTAAGTAGCATCTTTCGCCTGCCAGCTAATCACTGTTGAGATAGCCCAGCGGTGATTGGCTGATTGGCATGAGATGCCTGTCCGACTCTCCATCTAAGGTGTCCCAAGTGTATGAGTGTTAGTCTCAGTCATCTCAAACAATTACAACAATTTTTCAAAGACTATGCGGGCTTTTTGGTCCCTTACCCAACTGAGTTAGCAATGTGCAAGGTTGGCAATTATAATATACCGTTTCCCTATATCAACCCCACAAGACAATGCCATTGCCCTAACTACAAAACCACACAGTTAATAAGTTAACAATTATGAATAAGTACATGACACAGAGTTGTTAGTATTTCTACATGCTTGAGGACATAATTGAATTGCATTAATACATAAAGCAACATTTCACACAAGTATAAAATGGCTGAGATAAAGAGCGAACAAATCACCTTTATTAGAATTTATGAGAGATTATAAAACATAACTAAAAAATATATAACGGGATTTAGTCTCACGAGGATGCTCGGAATCTCAAATCAACAAAACTACCGCCGTTTTCTAAATTAAATTCAATTTCATTCAATAATTCCAACAACTACAATCTAAAAACACAATTAAAACATGTAAAAAACAAGTATTTTTCTCGTCTCACAACACAAACAAAACACGTCGTCTGCAGCACAACATCACCCCTCACAAATCACCCTATTTCTAACTATAACCACCCTTAAAACACCCTAAAATCACGCCATAATTAAACACCACAACACCAAAAACCAATAAATCTTTACCCCAGAGCTGTAGTTTGCCTTAAGAAGCAGGAATGTTTCAAAATGTTTCTCAGAGGCAGGTTCCTCACGCTCATACTAGCCATTGTGGTCCCTTGTGGTGGGAGTTCAAGCTCGCGCAATCCATTCTCGCGAACCGGGATTTCAAGCCAGTTTGAGATAGTGACGTCATGGTAAGAACTTACGGGAATAAAATCTCCTCCTTGCCATTAACAATTCTCTGTGGGTTGTTAATAAGGTGTTCATTGATTGTTTTTTAAATTCATCATTAGTATATAAGGACATGTCGGCGTTGTAGGGTCTCAATATTATGGAAGGGCTGTAGCTCATTGACGTCATAATATCAAACTAGCTTGAAACTAAGGACCGCGAGAATAAACATGGATCCACATGAGGTTACATCATTATTGAAAGGAATATATCTAACTGATTCTGATTTCTCTTCAGCGACTGGGAAAGGTTGACTAATAATATACATTAATCCTTTTAGGGGAATCAGCTAAGGGAAATAGGTTGTCGATGCGAGTATGACGTAAAGTGGAAAGCACACAGCACAAGTCTGTTATATAACATTTTTATGTAAATACAGTTCTGATTTGGGTGGATTATAAATAAAAAATATCTGATATAATTTCCTTATGTGTATAGTTCTTGAAAGTTAGCACAAAACAGTTTAATTTTAGAAATGGTACAAGAACCGGCATATTGCTCCATAACTTCGTTATATACACGTTTTATAAAGAAGCTCTGTTTATTAATTCATCGTATTCTTATGTATTATTACTTTACATCTTCCCTCCTATGCAAAGATTATCATATCACTCCATTTTCTCCTGTCCATAAGACTTGAAATAAAAATGTCCAAATCTAATAGAGAGCGAAAAAACCCTACTAATATACAAAAAATACCATACACAGCATAATGAATACTTCAATAAATAATGAAGCAAATAAGAGAGAGAAAGAAAAACAACAACTGAAGTCTCAATTTATTATTATTTAATCGTCTATACATTACACAATTTCTTTTAACGTCGTATCCAACCACAAGGCTTTGTAAGAAAATTTCGTAGACGCCGTGTGCATAAGAACATATATAAATGTAAATAATAATAAACACTAAAAAATATATATATATATTAGAAGAAATATCACCCTAAATATCTATAAACGTTATTGGATCTCAGTCCCCCTGAAATTGTTTTAGCGCCGTAACCTCTCGCAGTGTTTTTGAAAAAGTCAACAAAGAAGAGAGACGAGTTTTTGGCGTTTTTTTCGTTCTTATTATCTCAGGTAGGTAGGTATTACGTGATTATCCATTAGTACTTGTAAATTAAGTTCTCTCCAAGGCATGGAGGGAGTATTTATTGTTATAAATGCTAGAAAATGAATAAAAATAAGGATTTTTTCGCACTACTTTGATCAAACACAGATTTCCCTCCATTTTCACTTATCTTTAAAGTTCAAGGTCATTTATGTTTTTAATTCACTCGTCCAACAAAAAGATGTTTTACGAACTTATTAACAACTAAAGAATAACTATTAGGTATTTAGGTATTCATGATTTTCTGTTAGTGAGTAGTGAGTATGTTTACCAGTAATTATTTTGATTATATTTTTCAAGAACTAGGGAATTAAATCGTTTAGTTTACCGGGTTTTGGAAATAGGGGTTTTATCTGATTTGTTGCTTTAATTGTTACTTTTAAGTTGTATATGAATGACAATAGCACTGGTGATTAAATAAAAAAACAAGGCACTATCCTTTCTTTTATCTTTTTTACACACCACTCCAATGTTATCAAAGTATTAAGCTTAGTTTTTTTTCTTTTAATTTTCCCCTGCAGTTCTTATTGTTTTCCTTTATTAATGAATGATTATTATTTCCTTAATGATGGTATTCATAATTATAGCTATTAGTATCTCTGATTCTAATCCTTCCAAGTGCAGGAGATTCTTAAATGGGATATTTTACAATGTTTGTGTCTAGCCAGGATATAATCAACATTCCTATGAATTAGAGAACATTGTGTACTTGGTAAAAATTGCTTAAATGTTTGCAGTGACATTCAAAACATGATTTTTCTCCTACAGTTATGTCACTCATTTATTCAGAGCCACATGAAACTTTCTGTTGTCTTTGAGGGAAGGCCAGTGATCTGAATTCCAACTTTGCTGGTTTTATTCATAGGTAAAATATTGAGGTAATTTGTAAGCAATATTCTTCAGCCCTAACATCTCTCCTTTTCTTGCAGGTGATGGATAATCCAGGTCGAAGTTTGTATTTTGGAGGCAGCATACATGTTGATGGCATCAGAGCTCCAGACCAGGATGAGGAGGAGGAAGATGAAGAGGAAAATCGAAAGCGCGAAGCGGAGATCCAGGGGATGCTGGCAAATGCCTTTGATGACTTAGAGGAGGATGAGTCTTTTGCCCAACAGTCAGGCTATAATTCTTTTGCCTTCGGAAAGGAAAGAAGGGACTCTGCCTATTATGAAGATGGAGGAGGAGGGAAGAAGCACAGCGATGCCTCGTACGGGAATTACGATATTGGGGACGGACACGGGGATAATGTATTCGATAGGTTCGGAAGTGAGTCACAGGACAAGAGGGTCGAGTTCGCACACAGAGAAAGTTATAGTGAGAGCTTCGATGTGCAAGGACACCCAGGCCATGGGATCCTCAACGGAGACCATGCTTCTCATGCCAACAGCTCAGGAAGTGTCACGCCATGGAGTGATGATAGCCATGATGATGAAAGCTCTGAGAGGTTTACCCCTTTGGCTTATCATGAAACTGCTCATGATCCATACCACATTACTGCTCATGATGAACACACTGGACTAGACTTGGATCACAATGACTATAGGCCGGATGTGCATAAGGATTATGGGGAGAGCTCACTAGTATATGCTGACCAAGCGAATGATTATCAGGCTGACAAGTATAGATCACTTGTTAACAGAGAAACGCAGGAGAAAGTAACCGAGGCAGAGTATCGTGCTGCTGACACTCCACAGGATCAGATGAAGTTGTTGTATGAAGCTCGGGGAAGGGAACTTGACAGGCTGTCATCGGAGCTGTCGAAACTGAAATTTGAGAGTAGCCGTGATATTCGTGTGCTGCAGCACCAAATTAATCTAGTCACATCAGACGGTGAAAGCAAAACAGCCAACATAAGTCAGCTACAGACTTTGCTGTCAGAGAAAGAGGAGAGGATAAAGAGCATGGCAGTAGATCTGAAGGAACTCCAGATGAAATTGAATGACAAGGAAAATGAAAATAAAAAGTTACATTTTGAGTTAGAGACAGCACAGTCAACCATATCTAGCCTGGAATGTCAAATATCAGAACTCAAAGCTGCTGACACACTCACAAGGAACCAGAAATTACATGAAGATTTTGTGACAAAGTTGAAACAAGGTAATGAAGAAGAGAGGGAAATGCTGCTAAGTAAACTTCAGGGTACACAAAATCAAGCTGAGCAGCATGAAAAGGAGGTGACTCGACTCAGAGAGGAACTAAGGAGTCTAAGAGCAACTTATGATGAGTCTCTGGTTCAAAAAACCGAAACTGTGACAAAGTTAACAGTGACCAATGAAACTTTGCGCAAGCAGTATGAGGACCTCATGAAGTCCCATGATGGCCAGCAGATAATAGAACTGCAGATCAAGGTCAGAAGTCTGGAAGCCACCAAGGACAAACTGGAGAATCAAGTTTGTTCCTTAGAATCTGAACTAGCAAAAGCAAAAGAGGAGATTGATGGCTTTGACACAGCAATGAAGCTAGGCATTCTGAGTGAAGTGATTCCTGGAGAAGACTCCATGGTTCAGCTAGGAATAAAAAGGGCGTTGAACTATGATGACACCATATTGGGAGAACGCCAAGCGGGTGGGGAGAAGCACACAGAAGCTCAGGAGAAACTAAAGTTAAAAGATGAATTAAAAAGAAGTTTGATGAGCAACAAAGCAAAGAGAGACGAGATTTCCCGAATGCAAGAGGAAGCCAGTGGGAAGCAGCTTCACATCAAAAAGCTAGAGAGTGAACTGAAGTCAGCACAAACAGAGATAAAAGATCTGAAAAGCAGTCTTCTGAAGATGGAGTTAGCACAAGCAGAAAAACAGCAAAAGGAAAAACAGGGAACTGAAAATGAAGATGGACAGCCAACAGCTCTTTGTGCTGAAAATGTTGGTCTCAGAGAGGAACTGATTCTCTTGCATGGGTCTTTAAGAGGCTTAGAAGAATCATTTGTAGCTTTCAGAGATGTTGTTGAAAACTGGCAACAGAACCTACCCAGTTTAACTCAGGAAACATATGGTGAATGCATGAAACAATTTGATAAACTTGTTACTCTTGCTGATTTATGCTGTAATTCTGTGAATGACATGAAGCATTACCATGACACGATTTCTAAAGTGCGGGATGAAAACAACAACATGCAAAAGAAGCAAGCACTTTGGGAGAAGCAAGTTGACAATGTACAAATAAAGCTGAAAGTTTTTGAAAAGATGATTGTCTCAGCTAAATCTGACTTGGCAAATGGCTCTGAGTATGAGCATGCAGTCAATGTACTCGAGAGACTGCTCAAGGATTTCATAGAGCAAACGCAATTTGTCAAACAGGATGTCCGTACCTTCCACAGCACTGAGCTCTGTCTCAAGGATGAACTAACAAAGGCCAAACTCAAAGTGGCACAGCTTCAGAGAACCATTAATAATCTGAAGAATGAGAGAGATATGCATAAGAAAAATGTTGATGTTCTGGCTGAGGAGAAGGATAGGGAAAGGAAGGAAGCATTAGAAGATTGCCAAGACACTTACATGCGTTTCCATGAGGATGCTATGAAGGAACTGGAAACAAAAATGAGAAAGGAATATGAAAACATTTCCAACATACTGAAGAAGGAAGTAGCTAGGCTTGCTGATGAACTCAGTGATACTAAAAAGATGTATATTAGTGTCTGTGAGGAAAAGAAAGAGTTAGAAGATCAGTTGAAAGTGAAGACGAATGATAAGACAGAACCTTCAACAACACCAGTGATGCAGTCAAACACATACCGCATTTCCCCTCATGATTCTGGGGTGGATATTAATTCCTGTCAAAAAACGGCTTCTTTGCCAAGAGACCCATTACAGCACACTAAACAAATACAAGATCTTCAGGCAGAGATTGCCAACTTGAAAGAAGCATCAAAGCAAGAGAGTGAAAGAATGGATTTACTTAAAGAAAGTTTTCAAATACAGTTTGAACAGCGTCTGAAGGTGGAGAAAGAGGCAGCCCGACAGGAGGTTCTGAAATCATTGGAGACGATACAGAAAAAGTGTTCTACCTTAGAAGAATGCAACCAGATCTTAAAAGATAGCTGTACTAGCTTGGAGGAAGAACTGCAGAAAGTCAAGGAGACAAACAACAATTCTGAGACCTGTTCCAAGGAGATTGAAAACTGTCGTTATATTCTGGAGAGGCAGCGCAAGCAGTTTGAGAAGCAGGAAGAGGAACTTAGAACTCAGCACGAGAAAGAAATTGGAGATTTTAAGAATCTTCTTGCAGCCACAAAGACCAAGAATCTGCAGGAGAGTGGAACAGTGGCTGAGTACAGAAAAAAACTTGCAGAACAGGACAAGGAGATACAGTCAGTTATGGAGGAATTAGTAAGAGTGAAAGGCAAGTTGGAAGCAAAGGAAGCCGAAAGTGAACAGGAAGTCCAGCGAATGACGGACATCATCCTAAACTTAGAGAGCGAAGTCAAAGAGCAGCAAGAAGAGAAGAACTTCACCCGAGCCAATTTCCAGAAGATGATACAAGATCTCCAGAATGACCATGTGCTTGTCAAACAGAGTCTCAAGATTTCTGAGGATCGCCTGAATGAATATAAGGACTTGGACAACAAATACAAGTCCATGAAACAGAAATATGCAAAATTCCAAGCCTCTTCGAAAGAACAAATAACGCACTACAAAAGTGAACTGAAAAGACTCGGTACAGAATATGACAAAGCCAAAGAAACACTGCTTCAAAGAGTTCAAAGTTTCATTGAAGAAATAAAGGGAAAGTGTGCCATGTATATCGACAGTACCGTGTTAACTCTTCAAAATGTAGACAGTGCAAAATATCCAGTTGGCAACATAATAAGTCAGTTGCAGGCATTTTCTAGAGATCTTAAAAACTTTTCATTGCAATTGACATGAGAGTGAATGTAGTGTTCTAAATTGTTTTTTCTTTTAAAAACCAAAGAATAAATAAGTGAATCTGTGATAGTGGTGAGAGAGTGACCAAGGAGTTGAATGTTTTTTTTTTTTCTTTTTAATTCATGGGAATAATTATTTGAGGGATGTATTTTTATATAAAGTATAGGTTTCATTTTTCATACTTGTTATATGAATATGAATGCAGTCTTTTAAGGAACAAGTTTTAATGGGAAATCCTTGTTTTTGTACATAGGTATTTATAATTTTATATGATATGCACATACTAAAAAAGGAATGTTTACCGCATAGGACCTAAGACTTGACATGTATAGTTATTGCCCTATAATAAATATTAAATATATACATATATATGTCCTTAAACCTTGACATTAGGATTTCATGAAGTGTTCAAAAATGGAAGAAGAAAATGATGGATAAAATTAATATTGCAACAAGAATTAGGAAGATTTATAACTCCCATAATTTTTTTTACTGATTTGCAAAATTGCAAGATATATACATCATGTTCCTTGTATATACAGGATTCACATTGATAAGTGAGTAATATTTATTTCATAAGAACTTTATCTATTTATCAATTTATTATTAATCATAAGAGAGATGACATCTGAATGTATATCATAGTCCAATACTCTAATCAGAAGGTAATAGTGTTCATTTGATTCTCCAGAGGAAGATGACTGCAGTCAGCACAGCACCCAGTTTAGAAGCCCTGGAGGAGGGATTCCAGAACAAGATTGCTGCTTTACAGGTTAGGTCTTCCAATCTCAGGTTACTAGTTAGTGTGTCTGTGTGTCTTTACTTTAAGTTAGTTTTTTTTTATTATTGTTTTTTTAAATTGTGGAATACTAGAGATTGTTATTAGCTTTTGTAGTCTGATAAACAGTGTGCCAATACTTTGATGATGGGAAAATTTTGAGGCTTTAGCAATCAGTCCTATTAGAGACTGATTATTGTGTTAGATATATGTATGTGTATTTATTACCGGGTTTGTCAAGGCAGAGTAGAAACTGGGAGAATAATTATTGGGTTTCCTCTCTTTGTTTAACTTCCTTTCCTACTATACATTCACTTCTCTTCCTTCCCCTACCTTCTTTTTTCTTACTCAAACTGTCCCTCATTTCATCTCCCTTCCTCCTGACTCAAGCTCACTCCCCTATTTATACCCATCCACTTCATGCCGCAGATATGTGCTGATCTTCGCGGCGGCTGGAAGGAGGACACGGTGATTGAATTCGGACAGCTGAAGCAGGAGGTGCAGTTCATACGGCAAGAAATTGTTAGGTTCAAAGCTATCATTGCCAGCTCTAAGAAGGACCTGCTCACTGCACACACTCTCCTAGAGCTTATGCAAGGACTGTGCACCCGACTGACGCACATGAAGACCAACCTGCCATCTCACCTACCACGAGCGAATGCCAATCCCACCGTCACTAAGGTCTCCCCCGAACAAGTGGTCACGGACAGCGACAAAAAGAGCAAAACTAATCAAGAAAAGGTTTGTTCAGAGTGAGATTGGTTTCTTTGTTTTGAATTTTTTGTGTTTTGGTTATTGGTGTTGATTTCTATATTTATTTGTTTCTTTTTAAGGGCACATATAGTTTGGAATATTCTGATTCATATTTATTGTTATCTGTTTTCCGTAACTGATCACCAGTACTTTTCATTATTATTTTTGTGAGTGATTGGTGACTGAAATTTATGATTATTATTATTTTTTCTTTTGTCATTGTTATTTTTAGATACTCGCCCAAGAAAAGTCATTCAAAAAGAGTACAGGTCATAAAGTTAATAGTTAGAGTTAAATGATGTTCACATATAACAAATTCACTCACCTTCAAAAAAAGAAAAAAAATGTAATTAAGTTTTGCATATATATTTTGCTCATCCATATTCTTTTACAAACAGCAGGCACCAAAGAAGGACACTGGAAAATCATCTCAGACTCCCACTATATCCTATGTAACAGTGAAGGAGTTTAATGATGTACCCAAGTAAGTGTAATATTGTCTTGATTTCAGTCTTGTTTACCTTACCCTTCTGCTTTTTTAAAATTCGAATTGAAAGTAATATTCTGGCTCCTACCTCTGCTCTTAGGCACTGCATTTTTTGTGTACATTCAAGATTTCATCATACTTTGCCATTTTGTGATATCCTATCCAGTGCAGTTTTGTAGACTTCCTGCAGTAACATGAGGTTTTCAAATGTAATAATGTAAAATATGCTAGGAAGAATATGTGTCTTCATGGTTTAGATTATAAGAGGATGTTTCTGTATCACATGGGTATATGATTCATGTTTGATAAACATGTATCACATGGGTATATGATTCATGTTTGATAAACATGTATGTTCTTTCTTGTGCTCTTATCAGTTCTAGAAAGCCTGGGTTTGCTTCAGATGCAAAGATCACTCAGTCATGTAACAAAACTGATGTTCTGACAGGTATATTCGAGGACGTCTACAGTATGACCAAGTAAATGTTGCAATTGATGAGGTCAACAAGACGCTAGAGACAAAGTATACCCTTTTGAGGCGTCCACGTGCTAAGCTTTCTGAGGTTGACATGAAGGTGGTAATGGCATGCAGGCAGCAAGAAAACCAGGAAACCAAAGGTGGGTTAATCATGTCTTGATTTTGTTGCAGTGGTTGTTGAAGTTGTTTTCAGTTTCCTTAGTACTTCTGTATGATATATTGGTAATGACCCTGATTTAATGATTTATCATCGTGTTGCAGATGGTTTTAAGAATCTTTATGGGTCCAAAATTTACTTTCATAAATAGAAAATACAGTACTAAAAAATCTGATTCTATTTCCAAATGATTTCAGGTCTGTATTTTGTAGTTGATAATGACATCAAGCGCTGGAGTGGCTTGAAGCTGGACAGCAATGGTCGTTCTATCATGACTGTTCTTCGCACACTCAAACGCCTAAGAGAAGTGCGTGGACCAGGAAATCTGGTGCGATACGCAGTCCTACTCTGAGAGAGGTTTCAGAATTTTTGGTTATAGTTTGATAAAAAAAAAAGAAGAAGAAAAAAAAAAAAAAAAAAAAAAAATGCATTTCCTGCAGGTATGTCAAGAGAAATGTTTAAAGTCACAAAAGATCCTGTGAAATCTGTAGAAAGTACATTTTATAAAGATTTATTTTACTGGAAACACTTGCATTAAGACTTAGGTGACCTAAGTACATTTTGCACCAAGATTTCTGTTGGAAAGATTTTGTGATGAATTTTTATTACTTGAAGGGTAATGTGAAATGATGTTAGATATTTGTATGAATTGCATGAAAATAAAGCAGAGATTATGTTTGATAGTTTTTCATCCCCATGATTGATTACAAGAAATAATCTGATGAATCCACGGTTATTTGTAAGTTATAAAAACTTTACTGTAAATTGTAATATAGGAAATTCATCATACCATTATTTGAAGCCATAGCATCTATTTAAGGCCACAATCTACACATCTAAGGCCCCATCCACATAATCGAGCACTATCTAACAGACTTGTTTAACGATATTTAACGATCATTTTTCGGGCAAGTTTGATAGGTAAACCATGTTCTAGTAGTTTGACAATTTGCTGCTGAGTAATTTGTATATTGAAAATTTTCAACATCCAGTCATTAGTGGCATATTCAAAATATAGCAGTAGGGTGGGGCTTGGGAGCAAAGCCCCCCAGGTAAGAAAGTTTGATGTTTGTGGTTTTCTAAAATGGTTAATGATCAAAACAAACAAATGTTTCAGACATCGAAGGTCATATAGCATTATGAAAAAGTATTGTGGGGACTAGAGTAAAAATGAGTTCACTATTAGAACAGAAGGGGATGAAGAAAAGTGAAGGAAAAGACCATGAAAAATTAGTTGAGGTGTGGGTAAGGACCAAGGAAGGGGTGATCCCCTAACATTGGGCTTGTCCGTCTCCTAAGCCACCCCACAACAATGAGCAAGGAATTGGGGGGCAGAGCTACTGGGTAAGGAGAGACAACTCTGCCAGATTCCAGCACCCATGTGTATAATGACTCAAGCTTTGCAAGATAAAGAGGTGAAGTCTGCTGGGCATGTCTGGAGGGGCTTAACTGTGCCACCAATAATCTACAGAAATATTAAATTCAGAGAACAAAAGTTAGATTATTCATGATATATTAGATACATTAACCCATTCGCGCCGGGTAAAAATGAACAAAAAATGGGGAAAATGCTGTGCTCATTTTTTATATTTTTTAATTTAATGTCTCTACACTAGATGGCTCTGCTTTACCTGATTTCATTTGGTGGGAAACTGTATTTTTACTAGTGCTATGAATATCGATGGTTATTTTCATTATAAACTTTATAATTACTATAATGTTATAAACATTAGTAACAGCAAAATAAGATAACGCAAAATAATTTCGTAAATTAAAGAAAAGGGTAAACAGATGAGACAGGCAGTACAAGTGCAAGTGAAGCCATCTATGTTTGTAAACAATTAAACAAGTATACTCGCAGTGAGCCCGTCACGTATACGGGACACCGGCGTGAATGGGTTAAGGGTTATTGTTTCAGGTTAGTTACATATCAAGTTGCTAACGTCCTGAGCCTGGGCATTCCTAACTTGTATACAGTAATATTCCTAAAATATGATGCACAAATATTTTTGTAAAGGCAAGTCTCAACAAGCTTGCCTGTGACATCAGGGGGGAGGGGGAGGGAAGGGAAATTAGTTATTTAGCCATTAGTTTGCCTGCCCCTGATGTCATTGCTTTGGCACATTGCTGATCAGGCCTGCTTTAATATGAAGAGCAATTACTTAACTCCAGTTTAGGAATTTGTAGTTAAATAGGTTTATTTATCTATATTCAATAGGTACAAAATTCCTGAAAAATTTCCAGTAACTGGACCGATGTATTTTTTTCCTTAATTTCTGAGACAAATTATGGTATATGCAAACCAGCTTTGCAGAGACTGTGGGTATACACTTGTGTGGTTGTCTCAAGAGTCAGATTGTGCCTTCCTATATTTATAATAGACTTCATTCATGCTTATCAGTGTAAATGAGGCTTTTGAGAGAGACAGACAGACACGGGGAGAAACAAAAGAAAGAGAGAGAGAGAGAGAGAGAGAGAGAGAGAGAGAGAGAGAGAGAGAGAGAGAGAGAGAGAGAGAGAGAGAGAGAGAGAGAGAGAGAGAGACAGACAGACAGAGAGAGAGAGAGAGAGAGAGAGAGAGAGAGAGAGAGAGAGAGAGAGAGAGAGAGAGAGAGAGAGAGAGAGAGAGAGAGAGACAATAGCTTAGTTGTCATTGTCATCTTCACTCCTGTATTATTTTGCTTTTTATATATAATTAGGATTCACATATATAAAAACAGGAAACTGCTTTGAGTGCTTTATTTTAAAGAAATGTAGTACAAAATATATTTCCTTGTATAACAAAATGGAATGGATTTTTGTTAGATTTTCCATACAGGCACTGATAGCAACTTTACATTTGTATGGAAAATTTTTAAGTAACCTTTATACTTTAGATTGACAAATTAAGTAATTCTAATAAAAAACTTTCCTAATATAATCTATAAAATAAACTATCCTCAGAAGTCAAATATCTTGCTTTTACCATGAACAAACAATGAATCCTTTTGTAGCCTGTTCACTTGGGTTTTCTTTTCTTCACTATGGTTACAAAAAGTATGGAAAAAGCTACTCTAATATTATGTGAAAGTAATAACCCTAGTGAAAAAAGTCAGGTATAGAATCTCAAAAAAGTCAAAACAAGTATGTTCATGCCATGTGTGCAAAATGAAATCTGGAAGCAAATAATTTTTTTCTCCACTTAAAATTCTGAACTCTTAACAAAACAAAGGCCATAAAGAAGTTTTATAACAAAAAGATTACAAGTAAATCTTTAAGTAAATGAAAAAGGCCATTCACAATTTACTTGGGGCAAGGAGTGGTACGCAGATATTGCTTGCCGGAGGGCACCTCATGAACCTTATGATCTGGGAACATTTGTTTGGCTTCTGCAGAAGGGATGGAAGGCAAGACCATGCAGTTTCCGCCAGCCTGCCAGTCAGCGGGGGTTGCCACCTTCTTTTCAGCTGTGAGTTGCAAGGAATCGATGACACGTAGGACTTCACTGAAATGAGCAACGAGAGGATATTAAAATCTGGCTTCTGATTTTTATAGCAGCAATGAAATAATCAGGGACATCAGCTATCCTCCTCAGAAGTGTCATGTTAGTCACCATCACATCTCTTATTATATAATCAAATCAAAATAAGCCAACACTTATTGCACAAACTCAAAAACCTATGTAAAAGGAACACAGATGTATAGCTACATCCTCTCTTTTTCCCTCCTCTAACACTTACTCAAAGTTACGTCCAGTTGTGGCAGGGTACAGAATGGAGAGCTTGAGCTTCTTGTCAGGTCCAATGATGAAGACGGCACGGGCTGTCAGGGGCATGCCTGCAGCGTCCTTCTCCTCTGGGTCAAGCATGCCAAGCTTGACAGCCAATTCACGTTTCTCGTCGGCTATAATAGGGAAGGGGAATTCTCCTTCGAGGCAGTTGTAAGCCTGGATGTCCTATATGGAGAAATTCAGAAGAAAAATATAAAGTATAGTTTTACAATATTATATTTAATAAGACTATGATTTGATAAAATATTTGAGACTAGAGAGATAAAAAAAAAAAATAATAAATAAATAAATAAAAAGGAGTGAGGAGGAACAAAATTATAAAGTTAACATAATGCGGAAAAGAAAGAAAAAGAAAGGAGAAAAGTACCTTAATCCAGCCAAGATGATCCTCCACATTGTCACAAGAAACGGCCAGCATCTTAAAATTCCTCTTTGTGAATTCAGGAGCCAACTTGGCTACCTTTCCCAGCTCTGTTGTGCAGACTGGAGTATAGTCAGCTGGGTGGGAGAACAGGATGCCCCATCTGAAAAACCATACATATATATATATTGCAGAAGAGAACTAGACAGAAATAAGGACCAAGAAAAAGAGAAAGTACCGAATGGCAAGTTTTTTTTTTTTTTTTCTTTTTTATAAAATAAATGTAAATAAAATATATGGTAAGTAATCTAAAAATAAATTATAAAAAAACTTGCATATAAAAGTGTGGCAAACTGGTCACCCATGCACTACACTTAAGGTTGCAAATGATAGATCAACAATACTTTTTAGTATCAGTATACAATAGGTATACCGTGTATTAAGCACGTATAGGCCGCGTGGCAGCCCAAGCCAAGCCACGCTGGCAAGTGTGATGGGCGGTCCCTTGCCCCTCCGCGTGAAGGTTGGATACTTAAGGCCCGCATTGGACCCCGGTCAAATAAAGTCAGTGAGAGTCAGTTGCCAGCGCCTGCAGGGGTCATGTCTGATCCCTGGGCGTGGTCATTCTGCCCGTTGGGCTGTGGCCGTGCTGTGACCTTAGGCGACCCATGCTAACCCAAGATTGTCATGTGTGTGTTCATACCTCTGTGTGATTAACTCTTAGGAAATAGTCTCAAGCTACCTAGTTTTTAATACCTTGTTCATCAATGTATAAGAGGTTCAATATATACCCTTTACAATAGGCTTTTGTCATTATGCTCTGTCGACCCTAAGTAATTCAACACTTAAAGGATTCTTATAATACATCACATCATTCTCTGCTATATGCAAGAGACAGACAGAGGGACAGATGGTAGTGTCCATTCCCCTTTATCTCTGTCCCTCTCGGTAATATTAGTTGTATTTGGCACTCAGACAAAGGCAAATAAATTCCATCTTACATATTGTGGTACGTATAAATATTGAACCATTTCCTTGTTTGATGTTAATCACCACTAAGGTTTGCAAACTCTGTTCTTTAAAAGTGTTGAAAGTTTATTGTTTGAGTGTGTTGACATCTGCACAGGCTGTTGTAAATCATGCTAATTCTTCCCAAAAATACAGTGCAAAGCCAACACTTGCAGATTTGGTTAATGTCACTGACAGTGATGCCAGAGATAGA